GATGTTGGAGCTTGGCCTGCTTCCCGATGCAGTCCTATTTCTATGACTGTGACTAACTGTATGTGCTCTCTTTCTTCCTCTGACGTGGGAGCTGGCTCGTTGGCCCGTCTCCCTGGCTGTGTGTTTCCAGGACAGGGCCGCCTGTGGAGCTGGTTGACAGTTACCTTTCGTATCTCTACTTCTTTATGTATGTCTGTTTCGGTCTCCTTGAACCCCTGTCGCCCTTGGCAGATGGCTGTTCAAACTAGACCTGGTTTTGGTGGAGGTTTCTTCCTGTTAAAAGGGAGTTTTCCTCTCCACTGTCGCGACAAACATGCTTGGTGTGAGGGATTGCTGTTGAGTCAATGAGTCGATGCAATCAGCTGGTTTTCCTTAAATAGAAAACTTTGAACCAATCTAAATGTATGATCTGACTGACTTGTCTCTGTAAAGTACCTTGAGATGACATGTGTTGTGAACTAGAGCTGTATGAATAAATTTTATTTTACTGCAGATTGGGAGAATAGAGGTAAAATGAAGAAAAGGGGTCCCTATGTCCTCCAGCAGGCTAAGCCTATAGCAGCACAATGCAGAAAATAGCTCAGGATAACTTAAGTATTTTGGATGAGGTATAAGAAAGGTAGAGCCACAGTGGGGCCCAGTTGGAGCCAAGGAGTAACGTTTATCTGGAATGAAATTCTCCCCCGCTGGGTCGGGCTGTTAACGCTCTACTTCCACCTACCTCTCTATTACCCAGCGACTAAGCACACATTAGCACACAGCAATATATTTTATACTTTATATATATTTTACTCAAAAAAAGTCTTCAACCACTGACAAAAAAAAGACATCCTGTCAAAATCAAACCCATTTTGGCTCTTTAAATGAAGCTTCACATGGTATGTCTTTCTATTTCAACGCAAGTCTCGACAGGGCTTAGGATGGAAGCATGTTCCGACACACCATGTCAATTACATTAATGATGTACTTTACTGTTTTAAACAATTTCGGGGGAAATAAACATGTTCACTGTTATTTCAATTTTTTTTACTGAAGCTAGTTATAAATTCAAACATTTGCATAAGTAATAACAAGCTGAAATTCTATTTATATGGCATTTTATTCTGTCATACATTGCAGTAAGCTCAATGTTGGCTATTATGAGAAATTAACCTTCAAGGCAGAATTTTACATCTTTGCAGATTGAGAACTTGATGGATACATCAAAAAACATGGCTTTGTTTGGACAGGGCCTGAGAGCATCTCACCTCCCTCCTCACCTCCACAGATTGGTGCCACAACCTTATTACTTCACGTAGAGAATCACATTTGATTCTCAGCGACAAATCCAGCCTTTTCTTTTGTGAACACCAAATTCTATTAGTAAAACTTCACTCTAAAAATATTTTCACTAAAGTTCAAAAATGTTCTCCACCACAAAATACAACTCTTAAAGTTTTTCTATTGACTTTGGAGAAATAGTTTAAAAGCAGGAACCCTACGGGATGCTGAGAGGTGAGTGAAAACATTACCGCCTCAAAAAGATTAGGATATTGGCAGCTTGCCTTCCAATCTAAGCTAGCGGCAAACAAAATTCACAAACACACATTTAATTCCTGAATTACTCAATTTGTAGACTTTCAGGTTTTCGCTTTAGCAGACTTAACATGAGCCGAGATTTCCACAAATACAAACAAGCCTGAGCCTGAGGGCGTTTCTGTCTCCTTATACATTCTCCTTACACTTTAAAGAATGCTAGACTTATCTTCCTGACACAATCACTTCCCTGCTTGTTTCCCCCAACAAAGACACAGAACATCAAACTATTCAATCTCTACACCTGCTTACTCCCTAAGCGATGCATAGACTTGGTATACCGTAATTAAGAGTTAATACCTGGGCAGATAACCAGTCAGACAGAGGTAACATAAGTAGGATTAGAATAACTTATAGGAAGGCTTTAATATCGGTACAGTGATTTTCAAAAAAAGCGAATGCATTTGCTACTACTACTAATGAGATATTTGAACATTTTCATTCATTGAACTATTATTTATCAATTCCTTTTCAGGCCTTAATGAGGTCTATTGCCGGATGGACACTGTGCAACTATCAGTCACCTCATTTTTAGTTGTTTGAATCTTAGAGGAATGTTTGGTCCTGACTCTAATCTGTGATTTCACGTCACACTGTGAGGCAGGTAATGGAGGAGAGTTTTGGTAACAGGAGCAGAAAAGGCTAATTTCAAAGGGTACTCCCCATTTAAAGTACAAAGTAATTTGGATTGTGTCTATGGTATAGCTTAGAGTTTTAAGAAAGAGGATGGATAGTTTTAGCTCTTTACCTTTACAAGATGAAACCTGGAGGAAAACATAGAAACATCCAATTTTTCTATTATATTTTCCCACTCTTTATAGATGAGTGACAGCTTTAGGAATTGGGCAAGGACATTGAGTTTGTGAGAGTGCAGAGTCTGTCAGATATAGCCTCTAAATGCCTTCAAATGAAGAAAAGATCTCTAAGCACATCCAACAAAGCCAAAAAAAAAGCTTTGGAATACTTTGGGTTTCCTCCAGCTTAGCTAAATGGAGAACCTCTTTGTAAAAGCTATAGCCCTAGTCTTGGTTAAACGGTAGAACATGGATGGAGAGTTAGAGAAGGACTGTTTGGTCAACTATTTCTTTGTTGTAGCATTGGCTCAGGACAATGAATCTGTGCATCAGAGGTTGGTAATTGGGATGTTCCCTCCTAAACTGCTTTTGGTTGAGGCAGTATGGTGATGCGGGGTGGCATCTCCTTTACTTGAGAAACAAGGCTTATAATTATCTGTCATTATCTGGCCTGTTTGCTCTCCCTTAATTAGTCATTCCTTTCACCTGTCGTTTTCCCTCCCTGCCTCAATTATAATTTATTCCTCTCACCTGCTTCCTCTTGGTTATATTCAGTTCAGCCTGAGCATTCAGTGCCAGATCATTACTTGTCTTTCTATTAGTCTGTCTGTTCCGTTTTTGCCTTAGTTCATGTCCTGGATCCTGGCAGCCAGTTTGTCTCGTCTCCTGATCGTCCACTGTTCCTCCCCTGCGGAGTCGTCTGGGTTTTTGGCTCTATATGTGGGGAGGTTCAGTTTTTATCTCAGTAAGCCTGGCTCCAGGGAGGACACCAGTTTAAAGTCCTGCATCAAGTTCTGGTTCCACTTCCCGTCTCGGCTACCCTCTTCCACTGAGCCTGCTCAGCTGCATCTGATCCTGTCTGCTCCTGTGCGTGACCGCCTGGTCATGCTTCCGGTCCCAGTCAGACTCTGAACCCTCCTGGGAGCTTGTGGATGCCTGGAAGCCTGGATCCAGCCACCTGTCTGTTCCTGCCCGATCTGTCTCCTGTTCCTGTCTGTTCTGAATCCCTGAACAGGATCGGCTTCCTGCAAGTCCTCTGGAACTGCAGCTTTGGGGACATTCTTTAACTGGACTCTTAAACCAGGTAGGTGGCCCACTCAGATAATCACCTTCTGTCAGATGATCGTGGTCACCTACCTGTGTTTCTCCTGCAGAGTGTCTGTGATTGGGCGGTGCCCGGCTCCCCATCCTGCAGTGTCCGCGAGCCACAGCTCCACTTTAGTTTTTGTTTTATTTATTAATAAACTTTTTGAACTTTCCTACTGACTATCTCACCTTGAATACTGGGTCCATCTGTCCTCGGTTCATGATATTATCAAAGAAGAGAGATATAAAGAACAGATTCTGGAACCAGAGGGAAACACATATCTTGACTCTGAGGGGCTAAATTCAGTCTTCAAGAGTTTCCCACCAATTGTTTTGCAAACTACCACCAGAATTTAAGATTTGAGGGAAAGAAAATTACTTCTCATAAGACTCAACCTCAACCCAAACCAATAAGGGAGCAGATTGGATTTACTGTTTATCAAGAGAAACTAAATCAATGGGAAAACACAATGGCTAACGGACATATACTATTAGAACAATGGGATCCCACATCCCGACAGCAGTGGTTGACCAAGCTGACTACCAGCATCGGTAGGCTGCCATTGATCTATATGTTTCTCTTACTCATTTCAGGGGCTACTGCTTTTTTTTAATTAAATCCGATAATTAACACAAACCAGTAAAAGGAATTGCAAAATATGTTTGTTTTTTTTATTTACAGAGAGGGTTTGGTAAATTTGTCATGGCTGCAACCCACAGACTGAACTCTGCTGAAACACATTTACCTTTTCAATGTCCCTCCATTTAAGAGAGAGCAAACAGCAGCATAACATTCATTGAACAAAGCATAGTACAACAAATAAATATTAATGTTAACCTAACTCTCTGTAGTTTTCAACCTGCATTTTTTTTTTAACACTATCAGCCTCTCGCATTAAAGTTGAATGAAGAAAGAAGTTCAGCAAAGAGAGGGGGAACAGAAAGAACAGCAGATGTTTGAAGGAAGGAAGTCTGCCTTTCAGAGAGAGTGATATACAGGAGTGAAAAAGAGGAAGAAGTGGCAACGGACGATGGAAGCCCCATTTGGCCTTTATGACTGAAAGAGCAAAGGTTTGAAACAGTGGCTGAAAGGTTGCGTAAAACAGAGGCTGAACTGGAATAGTGAAAAAGTCTTTGCAGCCCAAAGTATTCAAATATTTTAATTTTCATTTCTATGTAATTTTTATCCTGTTGCTCTCACTCATCCCTGCTCCCTCCCTCTGCTGCCTCCATCCCCGTATCTATTCAGCCTCTTCTTATAAAAAACCCCTTGCGGATGCAGCTGTTTGTGTGCAGCAGAAGCAGACACCCTCACCACCAACATGCATTCTCAATTAGACTCGTATGACATGCTGGCACTCCTGTCCAGGCATCTGTCTTGGCAGAGCGACAGGCACTGCTTTATTGCACAGCTGGGTCACAGAGAGGTGTGAAGAGCGTCTGTATGCATGCAGGAAGGGATGGATGAGCTCTGGGTTGTTTTTTTCCCTCAGCTATATTCCTAACTCTATCTTTCCTAACTTGAAAGTTGTGAGTGTGTCTTACTGTGGCAGTGGCAGTCACGTTGCTGCTCTCCTCTAAGATAGCACCAGAATACTTGTTGGAAGGCATTGTTGCTGTTCTTGACTGGTCCAGTAGGTGTCCTGACTCCTTTTCAAACCTAGATAAGAGACAAAACAGGAGAACAATTAAGAACCTGATTTTAATACAAAGGTTAATCAAGATAATCACATTTATCCAGACAAAAACCCTACAATAAAGAGTTTCCTTGATTTTTACAGGATAGAGGAGCTGGCAGCTAAAATCTCCAGCTGTAAGGCCAACCTGCCATTAAAGGGTAATTTAAAGAGAGACACACCAGGCAAAAAATACATAAAGGGGGGTTTTCTTTGTTTTTATGCAACATCTGTACTGAATTAAACAACTAAACTAAACACTTGGAAAATACGACATTTTTTTCTATGTGTTTCTTTCTCATTAAAGACAGAAGTTGGTGCTTATTTTGTTTCACATTGTTGACATTCTTCAACCAAACAACAGTAACAAAAAGGGCCTTTTCACAGATTTTATAATAATATTAAAAGTCTAGACAAAATGTAAGCAGCTGGAGGAAAACAGGAAATTGGGATTGTATGGGTTGCTAATCTCTACAAGGGATTGGGGAAAATGGTCTGTCATGAACCAAGGACAGATGGACCCAGTATTCAAGGATAGAAAGTCAGTAGGAAAGTTCAAAACATTTATTAAATAAACAAACAAAACAAAAGCGGAGCTGCAGGATGGGGAGCGGGGCACCACCCAATCTCAGACACTCTGGTTTAACAGTCCAGTCCTAGAATGTCCCAAGTGCTGCAGTTCCAGAGGACATGCTGAAAGCCGATCCTGGTCAGGGATCCAGAACAGACAGAAACAGACAGAACAGGCAGGATCAAGATCAGGCAGGAACAGAAACAGGTGGCAGGATCCAGACTTCCAGGCATCCACAGGCTTCCAGGAGGGTTCAGAGTCTGACAGGGACCAGAAGCATGACCAGGTGGTCACGCACAGGAGCAGACAGGATCAGGTGCAGACAGGCAGGC